GAATACGAATCACTTGTTGGCGGATCGTAGAGAAGAACCAGCAGCGTTCGCCAGTCATCGCTCGCTTCTGCCTTGAGTTCCACTTGTCTCGACTTCCCCAACGACTAGATCGCGCTGTCGTAATTATCCATCCCACCTAGTGTTTTCCTGGCGATCGTTTGCGATATCGGAGGATATCCAATCGTTGCGTGGAATATCGATACTTTTTCGCGCGACCGAACCGCGACATGGATTGTTACGCAGAGAATGGGAACCGGATGAGAGAGCTTGCACGCTGGAATTCTCTGGACGCGAATAATTTTTCACTTGAATCGCGGCTAGATGTACAGGCAGTCGCAGAAGTCTGCATATGTATACTGTATGGATTGTCTGAAACGTAATACGAAATTGGTACTCTACAAGTGGAGGAAAGTGACCAAAGTGGGAGCCCCAATTGGTGGTTCTCGTATAATTTTCTTATCCCTTTGCACTCGAGAGGTGACTCTCAGTCACCACTAGGTTTTCTTTAGGTTTAATTTCTTTGGAACTCGAAGTGCCAATAAAATGATCATCGTTGAGGCAAAGGTGACCTGATTCCCAAATCTCAAATTAGAGATCTCATTCTCGAAGTCAATATAATCTTAGCATTCGTGGCAATAGAATGCTAAGAAAGCTAAGATAGCATCTCGAGTTGCTGGTAGATACAAAAAAAAGGCATCGAGTGCAAAGGGTTAATATTAAGGAACAAATTAAATGTTCACTGATTTAAGATTCGTTGATTATTTATCTAGAAGCCAACTATCAGCAGAATTTATGTAAACAATTACAGTGACAAGCATTTTCGGATTTATGATGAAGTGTCGAAAATAATGATTCAGAAACAGTGCTCACATACTAGGACTGCCTAATTTAGATGTTTTTAACAGAAAAATTAAAATACATTTTGGTTATGTAATAAAAGGATTAAGTACATATTAAAATTGTTATTGCAAACATTACTAACGTATTCGTTATTGGTTTGCTCCCGAACATTCTTCATGAGTCTAATCACTGCATTAGAGATACTTGATCCTTGGCCCATCGTGATAATCTGACCAACGTCCTTTACAAAATACGCAGACAACGTCGCTGTCGATTAATTTTTAAAGCGAAACGAAGAATTTGGCTGCAATTCATCTAGATGCACTTCATAAATAAATAATTTTTTTAAACGCAATGACGTGTGACGCGAGAGATCTCCTCCAATTTTGATTAGATTACATTACTTCGATGACAATTTTCATCCCTAAATTTCATTCGAGAGTTACAGTTTCCGTACTTCTCTTATCAGAGATCGTCATTTTAAAACAGTGGACACCATGTAAAAGACTGTGACCGACCACCCGAACAGAGTTTTAGTTGAAAACTTTCAGCACTGTTTCCAAAAGTGATAAATATGTATATCTGCCGCGATGTGTGGTTTCCCAACTGAACTATTTTGAAGGGAGTACAAGAAGTAACGGAGCTGTAGATCCACATTTGCCTAAGTCTTTAACTCATAATTTTAACGAAATTACAAAAAGTGGAGTTGATCAATTTGGCTTGTAAGGGATAAACCTAATTTAGATGTAAAGAAACAGTTGAAACATCGGTGAATCAAAGTTAAAAAGGCAAACAAATGTTTTTTGATCGCGTCTTCAATAACTATATTTTTTTTTTAAATATCAAGATTACTAGTCTATAAAATGTTAAAAATGTTCTCCAAGTAATTTGCACAAAAAGTTTTGAAACAATTTACTTAATAAATTTCTTTTTGTAAATTTCCGAATATTTCCTTTGTTTCTGGGCGCTCGAGCGATTAATTTCTTAAACAGGAGTCATTGAGCTATCGTTGAAGATTTGGAAATTCCTAGCCATGAAAACATACTCGGTGACTATTCCCATGATGGGAATACCAGTGCTTCTACAATACTAGGTTCGGACGTGAATGGTAACGGCATAGGGAAGATAGATGAGGATGAAGACGACTGCTGTATCTGACACAGGAAGACAGGAATCATCGTCTACCCGTCACTTGTTCCTTGTCGCACAATGCTGAAATACTATCCCCGGCAGAGTATTCCGTTGGTGCATTACCCACGGCATGCCGTTCCATTGTTACGAGCCAGATAAAATGGCAATGCGTACAGAGATGAAAATAGGCTCGACAGAGAGCTAACATTTATCCTCTAAACACTATTTATCCTCATCATTCCCGAATTGTAATTATTCGTCTTTGTTAGCGATTCGCGGCATTCCCAGGAAATATGTTTTTCCGCTACATAAAGGAATTCCGTAAATCGTTGATGAAGACAAACGATAACCGCAAACATTTAGCATCGTTCAGCAGTAAAACATACAAAATTTCACACGATATCAAGGTTGTAGAAAATGGGCTTTGACGAAGTCTGCTTTAACGAAGAGTATATTATAAGATGACTTTAGGACTTTGGTTTTTAACCCCTTGATATACAAATAAAACGGAACTTGATGCGTAAAAAAAATACTATTTAATTTCGCTCAACTAAACAGTGATGTGAAAGCTGAGAAAGAGTACATTTTATTTTGAAATTTGGATTTTTACCTAACATTTCATCAGGTTGATACATAGTGTTAATTGAGGACAACTAAATAACATTAAAAAATAATAATTTAATAGTTTTGTAGAGTATGAAACATTTCGACACATTTTGGATGTTTGATTCCAATCTTTGTAAAAGTAATGGACAGGTACTCGGAGTTTGAGTATATTGTTTTATATTTACAATATTATTCTTTCTTTGTACAATTCCATTCATTTTCTGCTATATCAGAACGTCATTGCTTGGTATGGGTTTTGCACGGGGATTATATCATATGGGATTGAAACTGACTCTTAAAGATCCTATTGCTTTCAGGACTGATTCTGTAACCAAGTAATGATTAGTCCGTCTGGGAAATTAAATTTCCTAATAATATATAATGGCAATGTCGTCAGTAGGTTGTTAAGTGCAATAATAAAATAACAGTTTGAATTCTTATTTAATTACAATAAAAAGACCAACATGGAATAGTTAGATTGATACTGACTCTGTAACCGAATAATGGTTAGAAACTTGATTATATTACAAATTCTATACTAGCTGGACAATTGAATTGTTCAGTCAGATTGATCCTCGCGCAGTTTGATAGATACTTATTTCGCAATCATATTTTTTTCGAAGAAATAATGAAATATAGGTAAATTGGCGAAGTCATCTCGAAGGCTGTCAAGTATCATGAAATAATATCGCTTTAAAATTGTAATTTAATTCGAAGAAAAGAATTCTTCCGTGTGTTTGCAAACTGCATAGTTGAATCGATTTGCCAGGAACTTACTATCTTTGCGTAGAATATACGTAACAAATAAATAACATTCTTCGTCTAGTCTTCTAAAAATATCCTTATTTCTAGATTTTTTGTGATTGTGTTATATATTATAATTGCTAGTGGATGTGATCGTTTTAATCAATAATAACAATCCATGTGACTGGAGGTAGAACGCCTAATCTAATTCGACGGCAGCTTATGGTCTTTTAACCAATCAGCCGTGATTGACGAGTATACTCGTCATGGAGAAAAGGCAGTATTTTGTATCATGACGAGTATACTCGTCACGCGTAAAATTTAGTTACCATGGTTGATTTAAGAGTATGTTTTACATATTAATTTGAGTAGCAGAAGTATAAGTGGCATGAATTTTTGGGACGACCTAATAAATAGCCGTCTTTGCGATCTAATATTACTTTCTGTTTGACGATTATACCTGTCGTAGCTTGATTCTCACGATACACATAGGTGCGCGCTCTGAAAAGAGGACGCGACACCCGACTGGTTAATAGTACATACAGTGAGTTGTAGAAGTATTCGTACTCTACCAGTTGTCGACTTTGAAATCTCAGCTCTCCCAACACATATCGCCATTAATAATAATTTTGAAATGTGTATTGTGCAAAAATATCAATCCTTCAAAGTCGGCAGTTGATGGGTAATGAATATTTCTGTCGCTTGCTATAGGTCTGGGTTATATACAAATAATGTCTGGTATGACATTTACCGTGCGAGATCCCTGTTATACTAAATACTACTTTCAACGTACTTCTTTTGATATGTCGCCGCTTTTTTTGTTATTGGAATTGTTGGGAAGGTAGGAGGTTGAGGCATCTCGAACTGTATCCACAAACGAGAATCAACGCAGGAGTGAAGCAACATAAGTAGTTTATTTATGTCTACAACGATGTTTCCAACGATTCTCATTTTGAAATTAGACTGTAATTTATTATGATAAATTATCATTGAAATGTTTTAATGATTACGTATTTGAAGGTAGGAAACGTGCAATTTCTTGATTAAATGTGTTGGACTTTATTAACACTTCATTATACTAAAAACACAAGAAACCTTTATTAACATAATATAATACAAAAAATGTGATAAACAGAAAATATGTATTTCATGCTTCTCTCATTGCTATAGGTCCCCGAACGATGCACATTCCCGTTGTTGATTAGAATTACATATACAGTGAGTGGAGAATGTATTCGTACATCGATCGATTTCCCAAAAAGTCTTGTGTGAAATTGTAGATTATTAATTTTTTTTATAATTGATGGTATTCTATATATTCTCGGAAATCTCTAGAGTAGATATAGTCCAAGCAACAATTACTAGTTTATATAATTTGCAAAATTAACAAGAAAAAACGAAAAATCGACAGAAATAAAGAAGGAATAAGTACTCGTACGGTTCTTATGACGAATTATTTACAGTAGAATTTGTAACGAAACACATCAGTTTATTGCTTCGTACAAATTAGAAAACATCAAATTTCAAGTAAAGAAGTCTTAAAAAATACTGTAATAGACTAGTGGAAGAAGCCGAGTATTAAAAATACACGGATCTGTTAATTAGCCGTGTACCCGGGTATTTCGATACACGTGAAGTAGGGATCTGTAATAAATACATTTGACTGGGCTTGTTGTTAGGTTCGAGCACAGCCATGGCAGTAGGCGGTGCGACCCTGGTGCACTGCGGAGGACCTGGAGGGGAGGACCGTCCGGCCCACCTCGCCATTCCCTCGGGAGCCCTGGCACCCTCGCTGAACGCTGCTCTCGGCTCGAGCCTGAATTCCAGCTTGAATTCCAGCCTGAATTCCACGCTAGGTAGCATCGGCGCCGCGACGAGCGCGGCCACCGCCGCCACGGCCGCGGCCGCAGCCGCATGGCCGCCCACCTTATGGCAGTACCCCGCGGCGGCCGCGGCCGCTGCAGCTGCAGCTGCAGGTGAGACCGACCCTGTTTTTCTTTGCTCTTTCTGTCGTTTCTCTTGTCATCGTGGAACGAATTTTGAGCGTTTGGCTCGCTCCACGTTCCGCTTCGGGACGGTTTAAGGGCTCGCTCGCTAGGAACGTTCACGAATTCGAAAACTCAGATAGTTGAAACATTGCGTTTAAGCAGAGTAGTTTCCCCGTAGCACAGAACTATTTTGCATAGAAATACTTTATAACATTGGAACAGTTTATTCGGGTTTTTGTTGTTTACAGTTTTTGACACTAATTAAGGCTCTCGGGTGTAAGTCGTGTATTTGAAGTAAAATAGTTTGACGTTTTGTCAACATTGCAGGTAGCTTCATCAGGAATCGAATGGTACACTGATATTAGTATTCTACATCTGGAAGCCTTAATTAGTATCAACCGTGAAAAATCGGGCCGTAAAATCCTCAAGTGTCTTATTTTTATTATTTAATAAAGCGTGTGTCTTGATTGGAATGTTCTGGAATAAGTGCTTATACAGCTTCTCATAGACTACGTTTACACGGTTTGGATTTATGCCGAAGTTGTAGTGCTCATGTGCACCAAAGAACGTTAATTCTTGTCTTCAAGGAGGAACTCACCAGTCCCAGTATTGGCCAAGACCCCATCTTCTTCGTGCAAATGGTTTGGTTGATGCTGGGATTAATTTAGCGACAAGAATAACCGTTCCCTGGTGTATATCGATGTTATAACTTTGATATAAATGTGGATTGTGTGAGGGTTCTCATTGTGTGCAACGAGAGCAGTTCATCCATAACATAAAACCATTTTTCATCGATTCCATTAACACGATTTATTAGACTTTTTTGGTATTTGTTAGAGCGTACATGTCGAGTAGAAAGTTCTGGAGTAAATCCATGTAACTTCTCACAGACTATGTTTACACTGTCTGAATTTACATCGTGGTTGTAACATCGATATACACTAGGGAATGCTAATTCTTGCTGTCTAGAAGAAAATTACTTATTCCAACCACAACTAAGACTTCAGCTTCTCGAAGCAGATGGATTGGTTACTGTTGATGACTTTTATCTAGAGAGCAAGAATTAATGTTCCTCAGCTGTTCATTGGTATTGTAATTTTGACGTAAATTCGACAATCCGAGTGTATTTATACGGCGCAGGAACACAATTCATCTGTAACATAATATACTTTTCGTTTGGTGCCATAATACGGTTTGTTAAAATTCCATTAGATGGTGGAGTATACGTCTCGATTAGATGTACACCTGGGAGCATTAATTATTGTCCTCTAGAACAGAGATGTGCAACATACGTCACATCGTATGATTTAATGTGACCCGCAACCTCGTTCGAATAAAACGGAAAATTCTGGTTACTCTAGCACGAGTAGAATAGGACGATAAGGGGAAGTAACTTAAAAATAGATAATACACTTGTGTATTTAACAGTTTACTTTCTTCTAGTCGTAGTAAATATTCGGTGTCGTTTCACGTACATCCTCGCTCATAAATATGTGGACACTTACTACTTTTAATGAGTAATTAATATACACCGTAAATTATTACTATACTATATTGCTAAATTCTATATTGGACGTGTATTTAACAACATTTAATAATATTTAATATTTTCAATGCCATGTTCAATTTTATGGTGGAACTATGGGATCGTTTAGATAGAAAAGTTCAGAACGAATTTTCAATATATCACACATTTATGGCGAAATATTACAAAATACATAAGATAATATTACTACGGATCTAATGAAGAAATTAATAGTATCCAAGGTTGGTAAAAGAAATTTTAACCTTATATAGTTATCTCTGTAGTTTTTATCAATAGTAATGTGATGTTAGAAAAATCTATTAATAAAGTATGTTCGCTAATACAACATAAACATATTGAAAGATAAATGATATAATTGATATTAATCGATTCGTAACTTAGATATTTATTTCTATTAGTGTCCACATACTTCTGAACAGGGGTGAATTTGTAAATTGCTCGCAAAGAAGTTAATTGTTGTCAGAACTTAATGTAATAGTTACAGCAATGTCTTGTATTTGATGTAAGTAGAAATACTACACTTGTTCTCTAAGCCACTGCGAGATTGTGTGTAGGTGAAAGATGTTACGTTATCGATGAGGTAAAGTACTTTGTCGGCAAAGCAGAATGTTCTGTCGGTAAGGTTTGGTAACGTAGAACCGTAATTGGTCGAAGGATTTATCAACAGATTGGTGTACATTACTACATTACAGCAATCTGCTAAGTTTCTAATCGAATAGTTACACGCCAAAGGATCCTTTGCTATTTGTACATCATGACGTAGACTGGTTAGTACTACTTTTTCCAAGGGGATATTTCACCTCCCAGAACGTATTGTGGCACCAACGAATGATAATTATTTGTTACAGATTAATTGTTTCACTTGCATAAAATGTTTCATAGTTTTCTGAATTTCCGTGTTCATGGACGTCCTTTGCCAGACCTTTGACTCTCCATTGCACAAGAGTTAGTAAAGCACGCTGATGAGAAGATAAGATCCAATGGGGCCCAAGGCACTGCCTAAATTGTATACATCTTGGGTACACCTTGACTCGTTTTCTCATCAGCTTAACTTAGAAGTCTGGTAGAGGTGGTGAAATGCATTGTCCTATAGTCATGGAGTTGTCGTCAAGGTATTACACGCTCCCACATAGGTCAATGGCTTTTCAGTTCTGAACTAGACTCTCGTGCGTGGAGAAGTCGATAGTTTGAGTGATCCCTGACACCGAAGACTGTTCCGTTTGCCTTTGGTGATCCTGGGAGGACTTTCCAGAGACTCGACTGATCTCAAGCATTTCTTGGTAATTATGAACAGTAGTTCCGACCTCATCGATTTCAACTACCTTGAAGTATGTTGAAGAGAATACGTCATTGACAAGCGAACATCGTGAATAGTTAAACAATCATTTTGATGGTCGTTTTCACAAATATTTATTGGACCAACCTAAGAACCACGTCGTATTTTGTTTCTATTATTTTCCTCACTTTAGCGTTGCGAAACGTGAATGATCTTTGGTAATTTTTCGAGGGGAAGCATAAGCTACATCATGCTTGAATTTAGCATATGTTCATATTGAACATCTTTTTAAAATTCTTGAAATACTGAATTTATTTTACAAGACAGGTTGAAAATTAGCCAACTGGCGCTGATCTGAAAGAAAATTTTAGTTTCGCTTTATTTTTGATTCTTTAAATTTAATTAGTGTCATAATCATTCCAATGTAATTTAAGGCTGTTGAAATCTTTAAATTTAGCACTACTGTAAATAATTACCTCTTCCTTGATTAGCTGTAAAAATCCTTTGCCATTCAAAGTTGAGTTGTTTCTAGTAATATACTGTTACAATTCTTGAAAATTCGTCGCTAAATATTATCATACGTACATGATTTTAACAATCGATACGTACATAACTGTTCATTACATTAAAATAGAATGTATGCATTGAACAAGGTAATATTAGATAATCGTTATTTGTCTGCCATCCTCAAAGGATTAACCCTAGGATGAGTGCTGTGTTTGACTTCTGGGATAATTCGACAACTCGAACTGAAATTTGATTGGGTTTGAATTAGATGAATGCGTAGTGTTTGTGGATGAAAACTTGTTTTAAAGTTATTCCTATACATTGAATGTTGGTAAAATAGTGACAATGGTCAACACAACCTTTCTTGTAATAGCTTGTAAAATATTATATATATATTCATTTCTTTTGTTCTATAACGTACCATTAATAACCACTGGGGATTCGTAGTAGACAACGGGGATTGACATTTTAGTCAAACCTTTTTGTAATTAATCTTTATATTCAAACTCGTACGATTATTGCTTTCCTTTATATTCATAATCTTTATTTTACAACTTTTATATTTACGTCACGTGTTTTTTATTTTCTATTTCTCCTAAAAGTAATTACCTTAAATAAATAACTTATATTTCGAAACAACTGATTCATCTTACGCTAATCTTTCTTTTTGAAGTTTTGTAAATTAACTGTTTCATTGAAGAAGATTAAGGTTGAAACGTTTAGGTAAACACAAAATAAATAAATATATAATACATATCTTTCAATTTATCGTTTGTTTCTTAATTGCTGTTTGAGTGTGTCATTGTTTAAATTAGGTTGTGTTAATCATTGTTACTATCCCATTGAAACCTAATTTTGTTTGTACAAAGCATTCGTACGTTTCCTTTAACTATGTGCTACTGTACAAAAGTATAATTGCGTTCTCTATACATTTCCAGAACTTAGTAAATATTTATATTGGCGATAAATGAATGTAACCCCGCGAGAGATAGTACGAAATCATTTATATCAGTGAAAAATAATTTGGTTTAAGCAAATCGTATGAAACTCTGACAGATTAAAGGCCATACGCCTAATCTGAGGTGTTAAGGAAATATAGTCGCAGTAATTGAAATTGTGGATTGTAAGCTCAATCTTTGCGATTATTGTCGAGTGGGATCCAACAACTCTGGTTGTACTGAAACTGGACACCGAGTCACTCGGCAGTTGTTGTTCTTGTTGTTTTTTTTTTCGTGTCACTAACTTTTCTGTATACGCTTGTCACGTCACTCATCATTCTGCATCATCGTTAAAGGTATGTATATTGTGATTTTATTGCCTCACTTTAATTTTAACAATTACTTTTTTGTGCTAATAGAATTTTAGATATCATCTATAAATATGTGGGACAATGATAGCAGTTACGATGAATAAAAAAAAAAAATAAAAGTATTGTTCTGAGTAGACTGAAGAAAATAGAGAACTATGCTCCGAACGTAAAAAGTTAGTAAAATATTATGAAACATTCTACAATTATTCTTAGAAAATAGTTAAAGAAATTTATTTAAAGGGGAAACATGTAAAATTGTACTTTTCAGAGAACTTCTTTCGATTGTTCTTCGATGTTAATTCCACCCTTAAGGTCTCGCTTATTAGGAGTTCTGTCGATCAGAATATCAA